CATATTAAACTCAGTTTTGGACGATGTATTCCGCTTCTGAACTTAGAAGCGTCCTTTGCAACATCATTTAAAGACTTTCTTTGTCAATGCAGGAGAATTCATTCGCTAGAGATATGTTAAGTCTATCTAGTTACTTGATAGGCCATTAATGATTCATTTCTACTAATTCTAAATTTAAGTTTCTCGGTTCCTGTTTTTCACTGAAATGAGATCCAGTGCCCTTTGATTTCATTCATGTATGCTAATGCATCAAGACAAACTGGTGTCCATCATCATCGGTTAAATTCAGAAAATTGTGTTTCAGGTACCTAACTACGGGATCATTGCTCTGATTTATCTAGACGAATTTCACATGGAGCTCTGGAAAATTATTTATTGGATGAACATTCAATGAACGATATATCTCTTCGTCCACAGCTGCAGCCTACCTCCATTGAATTTCCATTGCCCACTCAGTACAGCCATGGGTCCAGCTGGTCAACTGGCACCACCGCTCAGTACAGACGTTGGTCACTAGGTGGCAGGGTAGGCTGATCGGGAGATGGCGCTGCCAGTGGAAAATGTGGCTCTGCTGTTGGTGGCCGTCTGTGGGTATGGGAGGAGCAATGAGCTTGGAGCAAAAGCATAAATATCTACCTAATTATGTTAATCGTCTTTGTACATACGCATAATTAAGAGCATAAGCAATATACAGTGCAAAATGTATTCCATTGAACAGAGCCCTGGACCTATAACAAAAACATCGATTTTCTACAAACTTCTAGCTGAAAGAGGGGATGGCGGTCGATTCGCCCCTCAGTGGGGGAAGCAGTGGGGGAAGCTTGCCCCCACAGTGGGGGAAGCAGTTGGGGAAGCTTGCCCCAACAGTGGGAGAAGCAGTGGGGGAAGCTTGCCCCCACAGTGGGGGAAGCAGTGGGGAAGCTTGCCCCCACAGTGGGGGAAGCAGTGGGGGAAGCTTGCCCCCACAAGTCTGCGGCCGTGCAGGGGCGGTGACCCACAACTTTTCATGAGGCCAGGAACCGTGGGCAGCTTGTCCTCCCCAAATTAGGGGTTGTGGGTCACAAAGGAAGAAAGCAGTTAAGTGAAAAATCCACCTCTTTCACTGGCTCGGCAACCCATTTGGCAGATTAGAACCTTTATTCCAGGTTGCCAAAATGGTAGTTTATTCACTCAGCTGAGATGGAATACCTCACTTTTTTGCAAATGTTTTCTTTTTTTTCGTTGAAAAGGCCAAGGTCTGAAAAATAAATAGCCTACATAAAACCGGTGAGAAAACTAGATTTGGGGGTACCCTAGGTTGATCTCTATTTTGGCTCAGTCCCCCATTCTGGAAGAAGTTCCCGCGACACTGGGGCGACAACCCAATGATCGAGGTGCGATTCTTGGTAGGTAAATAATTTTGGCAAAACTGGTCGTGGAGCAAAAGTTTCATCGCATTGGTAACACCAATTTGCGTGTTGATTGGTGACTTTTTATTTTAGAAGGTTAGTTTCAGTGCTGGTATAAATTAAGGTCAGGTCAAAGCCGGTCAGGCATGATGGTGGTCTTGAACTATAGGGAGGCGGGAGGTCATGTTGGGCAAGGACATGAAATCACGATTAGGTACATACAGGATTTCAAAAATTTACCTGTCTTTCCTAATTGCATGACCTCGAAAATGTACGAGGGAGAGAGTGCGAGAGGGGGAGGGAGAAAGGGCGGGAGGGAGGGAGGGAAGGAGGGAGGAAGGGAAGGAAGGGAAACGAGAAAGAGAGAGAGAGAGAGAGAGAGAGAGAGAGAGAGAGAGAGAGAGAGAGAGGGGGGACAGAGAGGACAGAGCGGAGAGGAGAGAGGAGAAAGCTGCTGCTTTGTGTTGATGTACTCAGCAGTTCCGCCTTTTATACCATCCAGCCTGTGCAAAGCTACGGAGCTGTGCACGTCAAAAGGTGCACACGCGGGTGCTGTCGAGACTGAGTGAACAAATATTGACTCTTCCCCGTGTGTTCTGTTCTTAGGGTCTATTTTTCAGCCGTACCGACCGGAAGCTGAGCCTTACGGCTGCCGGCCCACCTGAATGCCATATATTTGCGGTGTAAGATGAGCGAAGATGGCTCGGATGGGTGTGTTTCCCACGCTTGATTGCAGCCGTCGGGCAGGTAAGAAATAACGACGGCGCCGACGTTTGATGCATGGTGGGAGCGGCCGAGCCGACGGGACGGCGTCGGTCGGCGCGCCGCGGCTCTCAGCGCCCGTCTGAGGATCACCGACTGGCGAGCCTTAGACGGAGACCGGTGCTCTGCCGACCCGGGGAAACACCGCTCACAGCCCCGGAGGGGAGCGGGTTACCTCGGGCAGACTCGGGGCTGAGAGGGGCGCCGAGTAAAGATATTGGTTGTGCGTGGGGGCTGATTATATCATGGTACCGACTGTCGAATTATCAAGCTGTGTACGGTAATTGGGGGTAAGGATATTTCATGTAGTTACCTGACCTCATGACCAAGATATGTAGCTCACTCTTGCTCATTTCCATTCCATCGCATTTTTATTTCTTATCTACAAGCAAACGAAACGTATAGTAACGTGTATATTATTCATTTCTTTAAATATTAAAGTCGTTTCACAAGTCAAGCATGCTCATATCACACGATACATCACCTAAATATGCACATTGAATAATATCGTTCCCCGATTCACCCAGTTGAACTGGCAGCCGAAACTGACACTGGGTACGGCACACTGGTTTGTTCTCGGAGCCTGTACCGGCCCTGCTCTGAGTTCAGACTACCCCTGCTCTGGTCTGCGCCTCTGCGGTCAGCGAGCTGCTCTGACCACCTGAGGCTATCTTTACTCTGAGCGCCGGTGAGCCCTGCTCTGAGCAGAGGCTTATCTGCTCTGAGCTCAGGCTTTCTCTGCTCTGAGCCCCGATCGGCTCTTTTCTGGGCTCCGATGAGCTCTGCTGTAAGCTCCAATCAGCTCTAATCTGAGCTCTGGTCAGCTCTGTTCTTAGCTCAGATCAACCCTGTTGTGGGCTCAAGCCATCTTTGCTCCGAGCTCAGGTTATCTTTGCTTTGAGCTTCGGTCAGTCCTGCTCTGCCCTCAGTTTGGGTCGGTCTTTCTCTGGATCAGGTCCGGTCAGCTGTACTCTCAGCTCCGGTCAGCTGGGGACGCTGGTGATGACCGAGAGCAGCTGGAAGGCCAGCTGCAGGTTGGTGGCCGCGTTGGTGTGCATGTGGTTGGGGTGACACTCGGCGCTGGCGGCCGGCGGCGGCCGGCGGCAGTCAGTCAGCAGCCAGCGCAGCACCAGCGGCAGGTGGGCGGACCACAGCGGCACGCCGGCCGCTACCAGCGCCTCCGTCAGCAGACCGTTCACCACCAGCAGCGAGTCGTCCGTCCACGGCAGCTGCAGCTCGGCGTGAGCGCTGGAGCCGGCCTCCAGCATCGCCAGCGTGTCCGTGCCGAGCCGCTGCAGCCGCTGCAGCTTGGACACGATCTCCGGCAGCTGCGACTTCAGCTGCGCCACGTCCACAGCCGCCTTGGCCTGGTACAGGCCGTGAGCCAGCACCAGTCGGTCGGGAGGCCGCGCCGTCAACCGCTCCAGCAGCTCTGAGACGCCCTCACTGAGATGGCGCCAGCGGAAGTCGAGCAGGAACTGACCGCGGTCGGCGGCCATCGAGCACCAGAGCGTCTTCAGGTGCAGTTTGGGCACGGCCGCCAGGCAGACGCTGTTGTTGGCCAGCGGCGGTGCGCGAGGGTCGTCCACATCAGCCAGAGGAGGCGGCCGGTCGGATCGGCTGCGCAGCTGGGCTCCCAGCAGCGGCTGCAGCTGCTCAAACACCTGACGAAGCCGTGAGTGGCCGGCCAGCACCGCGTGCTGTCGGTGGGAGCTCAGCGCCTCCAGGACCTCCTCCAGCGAGCGGGTGGCCTGTGCCGGCTGCGAGTCGGCCAGACAGACAATGGAGAGTTCACTGCAGTGCGGCGAGTCACCGCTCTCCGTGACTATCACTGGCGTCCCGTCACTGAGCTGAGACAGTCGGTACATAACGGTCAGCAGCACGGCGGCCGTAGCGGCGTGCCACAGAGCACGGCGGCAGGGCACGCCGGCGTGCCACCGCATCACCTCACTTTGACAGCCGTGCTGGTCGGCTGGTTATGGACCCCCTACGGCAGTTCAGTGACCCTCAGCGGGGCGTGGCAGGGCTCACTGTGTCACGGCACACCGATAGTTAATTGATACGGGAAATGATCATAAACTCAACGAGACCAACCACCTGCACGGTCGCCACCCACCGCTACTGCTCACACTGCCCTCCGCTGCTCACTACATGCTGACATGCACCGCCCTGCACCGCTCACCGCCCACTGCCGTTCACTGCCCGCTGCCCGCTGCCCGCCACTGCACTGCAACCCGGAGCCGGCCCGAGATCTGCGGTGCCTCTGCACGGTCCGGCCGCGCCCCGGGGCGGCAGCCACACTCATCAGCTTGCAAGTTCAATGCACGGCAAGGTCCGTCCGCTGCTGGCTTCGTATGGACGGCATGGGAGTGTGTTCACCCGCACTGACCAATGATGGGCGCTCTCATGTGAGTGTTAGTCCATGCAGGCCAGGGGTGGGGCCCTCTAAAACGTAAACTCATTACTGAACGGTATTGGCGGACTGGGGACTTTGAGTAATGAAAATGCGTTGGTAGCTAATAACCTACATAACTCACAACATACACGGTACTCGTGCCAAAAAAGCAAATCACGAATTTTTACAACATAACTGGAAAAAATAATTGATTTATTTCATCTGACGGGCGACCGATCATTCAAGGCTTAATGATTTTACTCTGTTCTTCTGTTGTGACTGAATTTTGGTAAATGTGGGCTGCTCCGGCCCTATAAGGAGCAATAATTGTAATATAATACACATACCCACTGCGCTGTGCGCCGGCGGCGGTGCCGGGGGCTGTGCGGCGCGCACGCGTGTGCGGGGGCGGTGGGCGGTCCTCGGGCGGCGGGCGCCAGTCCTCCCCCGGCTGTCGGTGGAGGCCCACGTCCGACAGAGCTGCCGGCTGCCGACAGCGTGCAACGCCCCCGACATGGGGGGCAAGGTGGGTGTCGTGGGCCAGCACAGAGGTGGGGCGGGTGTAAGGGGTGATAGGGGGCGAATAAGGGATTAGATTTATCTGAGTTTTGTGGTTGAAATATCCATAACTTGCATCCATTCTGGATGGTTGTAAGTATGGTTAGACAGTTGGGTCGTTTTTAAACCGTGAGCTGCTTATGCTGTGTCATCTTTTCTCCACCCGCTGCTACCACCCTCTTTGAGCCGATCATCTAGTTAGCTCCTCATTGGTATCGGGGTAAAACAAGTTGACAATTATGCCAGAGCATGCAAAGCTCCTGAAGATAACATGTTTTTTAACAACAAATATATACCAAATATGTAGTTGTTGATAGCGGATTTGAACTTTCGATGTCAGGCTGAAGCTGATCGATATTTTTCAACTCTCTGTTCAAGTTGTATCTGCAGTATAAAGACAAGCGTCCATTTATGCTTGCAATATTGTGCCGGTACGCTGCGAGTGGAATGCAGCAACCGAACAATGCGACATTTGTCTTATCTGTGAATAGTTGCATTACGGAAACAATTACATTTTCTATCGAATCATTGTTGGCTTGTCAATGAAGTTGAATTTGTAACCTACGCCAATAAAAAGCACGTTGTAAAGCGACGTATTGGATGGGGTCAAGTGAGCCGCATTATAAACACTTGCAAACTCAGCAATAAAAAAGCGATTTAAGTCTCACATTTATGCTTACTGCTTAGTGCTCACTTTGTGACCTCAATCGGCTAAAACGGGTGAAGTCAATCGCAACTTATTATATCGCATACGAAGCATATTTGGCGCTTGAAAAAAAATGCAATCAAGCCTTTTGCCCCAGTTGAATGAGCAAAATTAATTTATGTTACATAACATTTTTTGTAGAAGTTCATCACCAAATCCGTTTGTAATATACCGTTTGTAGAAGCTCACGGCTCACGCATTAGCAGAACAAGGCATAACATTTACATTTACCTAATGGAGTGGAGACGCTCTCTGTGATTGTTGAGAGCTGGAGCGCAAACGAGTTCTCATTTGAACTCAGAGAAATGCAAAGAAGCAATGCAAATGGGCAGCAGTTGCCAGGGCATGCTCGCTCAGGTGTCGGTGAAACGCAAAAAGCGGCAGGTCTCTTTTACATAGAGGACGACTAAGCTAGCTTTATAGGCGAGAAGAACCAGGATAGTTCATTTGATCAACTTGGTGACACAATGTAATTGCTATGCAATCTACCTATGTATTTATAGTCACACCATTTAGTTACACTTCCTTTCGCCGTGCCGTCTCGCCTGCTTCGTAATAGAATGCTCTTTCATGTCCCACATGCCTGAGTCAATACTGTACATCAATACTGTCAATACTGTCAATACTGTACACTAAACAATCCGTTCTGCCGCATGCCGAAACTGTGCGACGCATTTTTGGACAAAAATCGCCGTACTGACGTGTGGTAGTAAGATTTTTTAAGAATCATGTGATCGCTTACCTACGTGAGCGACAAGTAGGGTGACAGGTGAGCGAAGTGAAGTGTGTGTGATTCTGTTTTTGTGATGGCGCCATTTTCGCTTTTTGTGGTGTCTAATGTAACTGTTTAATTTTATATGGATCTGTTTTAGTGTTTTGTACCAAGGCTGACGAAGAAAGCTGCATAGCTTTCGAAAGCTCCCATTAAATAAAGTAATAGCTGGTGTTCAATTATGTCTTCTATAACTATGCAACCGTCCCAGCTAAATAACAATATTTACAATTACATTGATTCTGTTTTTGCTTTTACTTTGTATGGCTATATGTTTGGTGTTGGTGTGTTAGTTTGCTAATTTTACCTAATTACGGAGCGAGCGAAGCGAGCGTATAGTTCGTTTTTTTTTTAAGTTCGACCCTCACTGTAAACATCTTTTTGGAAAAAGCACGAGAATTGCTAGCTGAATTACTGAGAAAACTGGTTAGCGCACTTTGTATTGGAGATATGAACTAATATTTTCAAAATAGGTTTCTAACACTGATGATATAGTGTTACGTTAAACGCCGTGCGATTTATTAATTAGTTCACTTATACTTCCTGACAAGTCCTCGATCCTTGTGGGGATGCAAATACCGAGCTGCGAATCTGGGAAAAGGAGCCAGGTAGAAATAATTTTGATACAATTGATCGTCTGCGAAATCATTGTGCGCCAACGAGTTTTCTCAGTAATTCAGCTACCAATTCTCGTGCTGTGTTGAAAGAGACGTTTACAGTGAGGGTCGAACTTAGAAAAAACGAACTATAGTCTTTCCTTAGATTAACGGAAATTTCTGAGTATGAGCGCCGGCCGGCCGGCTGTGGTCACGCTTTTGCGACGCTTATATCTCAGCAACCACTTGACCGATTTACACGCGGTAATTTTTGTAGGGTAGCTTCATTCCTTCTACCAAGTATTGGACTATTCCCGATGCATGTGGGTGACCCCTTATGCACGTGCCACGTGCAAAACGAAGAGGTGTCACTTTTGTAATTGTTGCAATATCTCGGTAACTACTTGGCCGATTGCGCTGAAAGTTGGCATGTAGCTAGGCACCCACTAGGCAATGCATATCCATGTGCCAGAGTTGGGGTGCTGCTGCACGTGCGCACGTGCAGGGGTCGATTCCAGATCTCGAGAACGGCTGGACCGATGGCGCTCAAATTTGGTACATGGTTAGGGACCGGTTAGTAGGGTGCAGTGCAAAAGTCAGTTGGGACCCATTTTGCACGTGCGCACGTGCAGGGTGCCGCTTCCAGATCTCGAGAACGGCTGGGCCGATTGTGCTCAAATTTGGCACATCGCTAGAGACCGGTTAGTAGGGTGCCGTGCACAAGTCAGCTGGAGGTACCCCCTCGAAATTTCGCACGTGCAAGGCTCACCCTCTCGCTCGCTCCGTTAGTCGCCCCAAAAGGCGTTATACTGGTTTTACTTAACTGACTAGTGACTTCGTCTGTAATTGGGCCACGGCTGCCCGTTGATGATAAACTGAATAAAATGAAAATGAAAATGAAACAAATGAATATATAATTGGTCACTAGCCCGCGCGGAGCTAGGGTATATCTAGCCGAGCGCTGGGCGCCTCAGGTAAATTGTGACCGATCCCTCAGATCAGAACATAGACGGTGATGATTCGTGAACTACTTTTTCAAACGAAAGTTGCTGGTTCCAGAGCAGCGTTCGTGGAACTGGGTAGGCAGCTTGGATAATTTTGGATTACAATATCATACTTACAGCGTAATTGGGGATTCGTGTGCTGCGTTGGCAATTATTAATGGCTGATTTAGATTTGGCCAGGGTTTCGTAGTCGGGCGGTCCGTGGTATCACCACTAATACTGCAGAAATGAGGGGATAAACGAGACTAAGCCGCCCAGTTTATGGTCATCGATCATATACGGCATGCTGTGGGACATAATGGCAATGAGGTCGAATAATAAAAATAAACATTATACAATAGCATTTTACAGCTGAAGAGTGCGTGTGTTACATGCGGACATCGTTTTTCTTGCCAGATCTCGCTAATATATTAATCATGATGGGCTGACATATTTGATGGTGTGATTTTGTTCAAGGTAAGAGTTGCATATACCGTGCTTTATGAACAGCTTAAAAATGTTTCATCATGGTGAATGTTTCATCGTGCTTTATGAAGAAAGAGCATAAAAAATGATTGATCATTGTGAACGATGGCTGTTTCTTATATTTACCGTGTCGTAATTATCATCACCAAATCCATCCTTATGACATTGAGCACTGTAATGCTAATGGAGAAGCAGAAGCGGCAGCAGTACCTATTATTGTCCGGTAATTCGTCTCATTTATAATGCTGCTTCTCCCAATATCTCGACATAATAAGGAAGGTTTTTATAATTGCTTTGCACTATTTTAAATGCTTTTCCAGTGACAAACATCCGTCAAAAATTGCATTTTGTCCGCAGTTTTGGGTCTACATGGTACTCTTTCCATACCAGCGGAGTCAATTTCGATTTACTGTTTTCAGTTTCTGGGACGCTTTTCTGAGGTTAAGGCTGGTCTGAAACGCTTTAGGAGATTCAATTTGATTTTATCGCTTTGTCTTAAGTTTACTACCCATTATGGTGTCTAAGCCGATGCCGAGCTATTTTTAACACATGCCAACATTTAAAGGAACCCCAGCCTTGATCAGCGATAGAAATAATGAAAATGCAATCTATTCGTGATCAACCTGATTTTTATGCATGCTTAGGTGTACGCACAAATTCTGCTATTATATGTAATGATGAAATCTAGCATACGCTTCTAAGACATTGGTATGCATAGCTTAGTTTCATTGAAAAAGTATCCCGCTTTAGAAGCATTTTTTTTTTAGAAAACGAATAAGTGTTCAAAAAGTTATATTCTTTTTATTCAGTTGTTATGATGCGTCATGTGATGAGTTGTGTAGTGCATCACGTCTGTAATACGAGTAAGTTGATGCAGATGTGAATGTTACTGTTGTTAACTCCGTTTACGCGTTTACAGGGCGTCGCGACGGTGTCCCATCACTGTCGACTATCCTCCGCCACCGTCGTACTTCTCATAGTGATCATCAACGTGCTCAGCATATCAGGTAAGAGATTCTGTCTGCAGCGCTGCAATTAGCTATGCTAATTGCTGATGTTAGAGTAGGTATTATGAAAATGAAACTGTACCGATGCCTAAATGCAGTCACGGAGAGGAACGAAATCTTTACTGATTCCAAGATAAAATATGTTTACCTATTAATTTTATCGCAACATGTTCCATATATCACAAATTTGTATGGCCAATTGACGTATTTAGTTGGCAGTGATCGTGTTTCGATACACTTTTAGAGGCGGTGTCTCTTCCTTCGCAATGTCACCAACACATAACGCCATCCATGCAGAAACTGTGCAATGTCGCACGCGCAGCATTTTGAGTAGGCTGCGTGCCCTGATGATGTTGGGTCGCACAGGGAGGCGCCAATTTGACCGGCCGTAGATACTGGGACCCTGGAGAACTATTGCTGAGTATCTCCCGGACCTAAACAGAACGTGAGATGAAAACTGCGCGACGCTTCTCAGCAGGAGACGTGGTCGGGCGACGGTCAGGCTGTTGTCGGTGCCCCAGGTCAGGGAGTTTCTGCTCTGTCACTTAAGGCCACCGCACACTAGCCATTCGGCCGGTTCATTCGGCCGTTACAGCAGCGATTTTCTCGCGCGAGTCTTTATATCGGCCGAAACAACGAACCAACGACGGTGCATTCGGCCCATATTATTCAGGCATTCGGCCCAAGCGATGTTCACGCGACGACCGAAAAAAAGTTCGACCGGTTGAACTTTTCTCGCCGAAGCAGTCATTTAGCGGCCGAAAATCAACAGCCGCCATATTGTTTTCATACAACCTTGACAAGTGTTGTTTACATTCCAATCATTTTCGATGTGAGGGGCTCGTGTGGTGTGGAGTTGTTTGCGATGGAAATGAAGTAAGTATTCGAATGAATATCTGTGTTATGTATTTTGTCAATTGCATATGTGATTCAGATTGAAATGTTGTTTAAATATTGGTTTCAACTTTCAACCATCTCTGCTCCACTATTCATTTCAATTTCAATTTCCATTTCCCCATTTTCTCCATTTGCCATGATTATACATAGTCAGTGGGCATAAATTTGTCTACTACTCAATGCCACAGTAGGTATTCTTGGAAAATGGCCATTTATTATCCATATAAGCAAATATTTTCTGCTTTTGCCAGTTAACTTGAAATGCTGGACACAATTGTTCTAGGTTTCAAGGAGCTATTCTTAAATTATTTAATCAAAATTCAAACCTTGCAAGTCAAAGTCATTGAAAGTACCTGTAATGTTCTTATATAATGTTCTTACCATGCAATCTGGGTTTTCATTTATCATTTCATTCACATTGCCTCCAACAGGCTACTGTCGCACTAATGTGTCACATATTAGATATGTAGGTACTTAATTGCATGGTTGGTGAAAGTGTTGAGCACAACTCTTTCTTATGGTACAAGAAGTGCCATAATTCAAAATCTGAGTTGTCAAAGTATAATAGAAATTCCATTTTTCAGAGTATTTTTTCCTTTTTCTGTGTTTCTGCCAGATCAAGATGTTGGTTGTGTCAAACGTAGGGCCATGAAAGAAAAGTCTGGAGGCTTTATGGGATGCACACAAACACTTGCATGCAATATTTGCATTGAAAGAGTTGTGAGATCAGCATGCTGAATGTGTTTTTTGTGTGTTTTTGTCTGCTCTGTACAGGAGCTCATTTTATGTTAAATAAAATGTAATGGCACTGAACAAATATAAAAATAGCCACCTGTCCTTTCTGTAGTAGCTATTCACCATTCAATACTGTTTTGTGTATCATTTATTCCCCAGAGATATTTCACAATAGTGATAGTTTTCTTCTCTGCCGGGTCAATGAACCAGGTAGATGTGTCCACTCCAACCAGTGCAGATCCAACTTTGTGTACAGTTGTACACATTTCAGTGTGATGAGCGGACCTTTGATAGCTGTTCCACCAACCCGCCTTTAGATGGCGCGCGCGTCTCCCAGCAGGCAGCAGAGGCGACATCTACTGTCGGCTCAGCTGGTGTGGAGGGTGCACCGAGTGTCATTACCAATATACCTATAAAGTATAAACACGCCATTGCAGTGGCCTCACTCGAGGTGGGCTGGACCCAAGAGGATGGATGACTCGGGCTAAAACGATGACGCGGGTCGTGGGCCCAGCAGCACAACAGGTGGCGTTCAAAATTAACAAAGTCCCTATGTTTTCAGTTGGGTCGGAGAAGTGGATCTCATTCAAGCGGTACACAACAAGCCAGTTTCATGAAACACGAGTCTTCCTGGACGATGAGGCACCAGCTGAACCGCAAACGGCCGGCGCACCAGCTCTGTCCCCGGGGCCGGCGCCCCGGCAAGCAGCACCAGCTCCAAGGCCGGCGCTCGGGCCAGCCCCGTCTCTGGAGCGGTCGGTGCCGGCATCACCAGTGTCCGCAAGGAGCAGCCGTGCCCAGTCGAAACGCTCGCAGCACTTCAAAGTGTACAACAGGTGGCTAAACCGTTGAATGATGCCGACCTGGCTTTCGGTCAGTGTGTAAAAGCGGTTCGAAAAAAGCCATCGCTCCCGGAACTTCCGCTCACTGGCGCGCGACGTCTCCTCCGTCGGCTCCGGCAGGTACACTGCACCGCGGACGTTCACGATCGCGCAACAGATGTACACCAACGCGCGCGTGGTCGACTCCGCGAGCCGGTAGCTCGGCGCCAGAGCGGAAAATTCAGCCCCCGACGCCAGATAGTGGAGTGTAATCGCCAGCCGCAGCGGTGCGCTCACCGGCTGGAGGAAGGTGGTGGTCGAGCGGGTGATCTGGCCCTCGATCTGTGCTAGTAGGAGGCTGAAGGCTCCCTAGCTCAGTCGGAAATACTGAACCTGTGTCGCTGGGGGTCGTTGAGCCGAAGCTCCTGCTCTCGGTTGGCGTGCTCGCCCAGCTCGTCTCGGCGCTGCAGCACGTCGCTGACCCCATGCGCCGGACCAAGGGTCTGCGTCTCTCCTGCACCCTAAGGAGTGCCAGCTTGAAGTACAGTATCGCGATGGCTAGTTGAAGTGTGTACGGGTTGTTTGGTGGCTCAGCATGCTGATAACTAAATCTTTTGGTCCCAGAGCATCAATACAATGCACATTAATGTTGCTAAGTTTGGTTAATCGCTTGCGATATGCTCAGACCATTTAGATCTCAATAGTCGGTGTACTTTGCTCAATGTTTAAACATTTCTAACAGCCAATTTGTTTTCATTATCAAGCAAGCTACCTACTCAAACTGCAATTAACCTATAATTTTGTTTCTTTTTTGAACGATGCACGAAATATATGAAGCTGGATTCTATTTGGTCTTTTCCAATATTCATTATAAAACATTCATTACTTGCGCTCTTGGAATTCGGTTACAACAGTTTAGGCGATATTTCAACGACGATATTTCTGCTCTAAGCGATTCGGCCATTCGGCCGATATAGACACTCGCGCGAGAAAATCGCCGCTGTAACGACCGAATGAACCGGCCGAATGGATAGTGTGCGGTGGCCTTTAGAGCTAATGCTAAGGCATTAATTAGGCTTCTTTCTCAGCTGGACCCAGGATATCCGCTGGAGATGATTTAACATTTAAAGCAATCCTCTTCAGGGATGCTGGTCCTACTCTCCATATTATTTTTAGTGGTACCCTCTTTGTTGTCGACTTAAAAGTATGAACACCAATTTTCGTTACCGATCGGTTATCCATTTTGTGACCAAACGTCAAAGAGAACTAAAATTGTTTTTCTCCCAACAACCGACCTAGCATTCATCAGCGATGCATTGTCTGCGCCACCGCTGGCTCTCTGGCCGGCCGGAGTCGTTGACTAACTGGCTGACCCAGTCCCCAGGTGGGTTAACCGGGTCCCATTCTGTTCTAAACGGGCCCGTTTCAGCGCAGAAACAAACGCAGAGCACTCCGAGCATAATGAACAACTCTCTTACTTTGTGTGTGTGTGTGTGTTTTTAGAAACATTAAAATGAGATTTTTTTAGTTTGATTGTGGATGAATATAGACTAGGTATTCTTTTCGTCAGGGGTGTTTTTGTTATCCTTTAAAAAGAAATGATGAATCCAATCTGTCAGTGAAGTCAACCTGTCCTTTACAAACGGTTTAGATTTTAGAACATTGACAAAGATCTGTTTTCACTTATATGTTATCTAAACTGTCGAAGAGGGAAAATTTAGTGAACGCGAACAAATGAGCAACAAAAAGCTATCAACTTCTTTCCAATTTCTTCCCAATATGATGGAATAAGGATGCCTAGGCACTGAAAATCCATTGCTAAAACCCGTGCGCCATTGTCGCCTGGAACAGCTATCATCTCTCTGCCGGCACGTCCCTGCCGCCGTTCCTGTCCCATTTCGCGTGACACACTCTCCTCTCCCCTCATTCGCTATTTCCCCGTCGCCGAACGCTCCTTGGCCTCGTCCGGGCCGATCCGATGCTGATTTGACGAGAGCACCCCTCGCGATTGAGCCGCATAACGACCGGGGGAGGCTGCCGTGGCGCCGGAGACCGGTCACAAAACTTTATAGCGCCGCGTGGCCGCGAGCAGCTGCGACCTGACCGGGCGGGCGCCGTGCTCTGTGCCGCCAGGAGCCGCAGGTGTGGTCTGGGAGCAGTGGTGGACCTACAACGGCATTTCAGGTACGTGTGTCGGCCGCGACGAACCGCCCGCGCCGGCGAGGCTGATGGCTGATTGGGGACAGGATACTGTTTGGGTGATCGTAGGTACGAGGGCTAGGGTCGGGGGAGGGAGGTTGAGTGGGGGGGGGGGAGTGGATAGGGTGGCCGGCTAGATGAGGGGAGGACTGGTGATCGCCCACGGTATCGCTGCCGCTACGGCAGATCCCCGGGGAGCGTTTCGGTGGCCGACGAGGCTCGCCGAGATCAAAGAGAAATGGCTTCGGAGTTTCCGAGACGAGCGCGACCCTTCAGGCGGCGAGCACGAATGAAGCAGAAATCATTTACTCACTTGGAACAAGGTAACTTGGCGAGCTGAAATGTTTTGATAATTATGCAAAAATGACTGAAAGAGCCTTCATCAAGATTTCAGACTTGGACGTGAAGCAGGACTAATGACTGTTGTTCCGGAACGTTTTGTTTTGGTAGTCTCCGCGACGTTCACTGAATGAGTTAACAGTCAATAGTTTGATTGTTGTTAATTCTGTTCGTGCTAGCTCGGCTAGTGGCGTGTGAAGCCGGACAAGCGTTGTTGTACCTGTTCAGGCGTCGCCTCTCCCTTCAAAACCTGCGTAATTAAAATGTCCCGGAATCGCTTTAATGCAGAGATCAGGCGAGCATTGTCACTACATGTCTGTTCTCTCGACACCAATTCGAAAGGGAGTATCTTTAGTGTTCATTGATCTATCAACGAAGAATAGATCATCTGAATTGAGATGCATTAGCTGATAATAATTGCGTTTATTGTTTATAAACTACATTACTACCAAAATCTGCCAGAATTCCGGTATCAGACGCATTGGCTTATGAGCACCTTTATTGTTTAGCGTAACATGTTTCAGTTATGTCGCTTGTTGAAAACCGGCAGAATTTCTCCTGTTTTGATTAAATAAGTGTTTAACTTGATGTTATGTCAACAATAAACTTTTAAGAGGATGTAGCTGTCTTTTATAAGTTTGTTATTCGCATCTCCAGTCCTTTTAAATCTCATTGCAACCAACAAACTTCGTATCGTTGTCTTTTAACATTGTACCAAAAATGTCTCATGCTTCAAAAATAGCCAACAATGCCAATTCATTAGCACCAAAGGCCGCCTTTTTAATGTCTAGACTTGAAACCAAACTTTTGCACTGTCTGGTTTCTTAATAACAGTCTTCTTTGTTGGTGTTCACCTCATCCTGACTGCCGCCTGCCTGTCTGACTTCCTCTGCATTTTTCTCTTTCCTTCTCTCTCCCTCTCTTTCTCTCTTCATCTCTCTCTCTGTCTCTCTCTGTCTCTCTGTCTCTGTCTCTGTCTCTCTCTCTCTGTCTCTCTCTCTCTCTCTCTCTCTCTCTCTCTCTCTCTCTCTCTCTCTCTCTCTCTCTCTCTCTCTCTCTCTCTCTCTCTCTCTCTCTCTCTCTCTCTCTCTCTCTCTCTCTCTCTCTCTCTCTCTCTCTCCCTCCCCGCAGGTACCGAGTTTTGGGGTCTGTTCAACCCCGAGTGGAGTATGTGCAGCAATGGCAGGCGGCAGTCTCCAATCAATGTGGAGCCGGATTCCCTGCTGTTCGACCCGCACCTCCGCTACGTGCACATCGACAAGGCCACGGTGAGGAACAGCTGGGGTTGGGGATACAACCAGCGGGTGAGGATGGAACAAGTGAGACACCTGGTGATAGGCTTCGCTGCCTGCAAAAAATAGCTTCATAAAATAATTTTAAAAACCTAATAGGTACTATTTTTTTCACTTCTTCGGGTAAACACTGATAAGTGATAAGGCCTTATTTTACCTTTATCTGTGGCGTTTTACCAATGTCTATTGTTGAATCAAAAGGGGACAGAATAGCTCGAAGAGATTGAGTTTTCTACTTTCCGTTTTGTATACACTTCATTGCTAACATTTTTTGGAGATTTGATGGAGCTACAAAGTAACATGAAGGATCGTGTCATTTTGCCGGTGGTAATTACACCGTCCGATCACGGACCATCTCTGAGTGTTCGGGCGTTTGTGGCTCGTCTGTCGGCGGACACTTGCTGTCGTAATAGAGACATGGTATGAAAGTGACGCAGGGGCGGGCGATGGACGGTAACAGGCCGCCGTCTGGCACACACTCATTACACGATGACACGAAAACAGGACAGACATGGACAGACCCATGCACTGTTTTCGACTGTGTGGCTTGGTTGGGAAGCTGCTGATGGTCATGTAGGAGCCATTGTGTCGCTGAGGTGTTCAGCTCAGCTGAAAGTTTCGAAGTTCATTGCTCTAGTGGCTGCGGTAGAGCAGTACTAAAATGGTTCCTGTACAAGTACATACAGATCTCTATAAAACATCTTATTATTAGTGTGTATTTTATGGCATACAAATACTTGAACGTAAGCATGAAAGAACATGGTGCAGTACAGTGTTGGAATTCTCATTTTCAGTCCTGGTCCCGGAGAATAAAATCTGGCCGGAGAACAGCAGCCCCGAAATTGGATATGCGGCCGTGACACTGGCGGATTCGGGGGGGGGGGGGGGTGCATTCGAAACATTTTCCCCTCCCGCAGTATCCGAAATTAACGAAATTTCCCTGTTTTCCTCTCAAGAAATAATTCATGTGAATTGTGAAAGCAAACGGCAGACCCCTCTCGGCACGGGCCGGCAGAGGTCATAAAAAACTTGATAACCTACTGTCAGTATGATTTCGACAGGAAATGTGTTGTTTATAGAGCACATCTTCCCTTGTTGAGCTCTGAAGCTCGACGTTTCTTTAACTTTGAACTTGAGTTGCTTATTAACCAGCTGACTGGCCTTCCGACAGGGACCTACAAATGGGTGTCTCCTAGTCCTGCCTCGCCTGATCTTCCCGGCTGTTCCTGATCCAGAGCCCACAAGGCTCACCCAGCTGACGTGGACCACCAGAAGACGCCTGTGATCCTGTTTGTGCATTCCCATGTCAATCCATATTTATTGGAACGCGTTAAAATGAAACATCTTTTTCTGACACATTGTGTGTAGAAGCTCGTTACAGTGCAGCGATGCAAATTAACTTAAATCGTTTTTGTTTTTATTGGAAGGACTGATGGCCATGCAAAGATAAGTGTTTTGATTTGTTAAGGGCAATCTCTTTCGGCTTGAAAATGTCATTGCGGAGCTGTGGGATGACGACATGATAGCTGGTGGAGCGGAGCCATTGGACCGTACGTACCATCGATGGTGCGCCACAGCGGCAGAGACCGTCAAGAGGACGAAAGTGGCTACGGTGAGCCGTATCAGGAAAGACCTTTCAGGTGGGACGGGAGTTCCCGTTTGGACAGCCCACTCTATCGCTTATAGGGCCATCCCGAAGAGGATTTAGATCGGTCGAGATCTTGTCCTCGCCACCGCGACGGTTATCTGGTGGGGGTTGAGTACCAGCCCGGAATAGATTGTGAGCGAGGGTGCGAATGAGTTGGTCTGAGGATGGGAACGATAATTTCAAAAATAATTTGAAGCTGTTCTCATAAAAATGCGAGAACCTCACCGTTGCCAACGAGACTGTTAACTTACTAGCCCTAGCGAGTGAATATGCATGTACCTACTTAGTATCTTATATCTAGGCATATTTAGGCGTGCACGGTGCAACACAAGCGATATGGCGTCAATATATCATCTACTATGGGTGATGAATGATGATATATATGACCAATATATACGACTACTGTGGGTAACTATGCCTCTGACTGACAACAAGATAAGCGAAGAGTCGGGGAGAGACTGTGATCTGAGGAAAGAGAGGGTGACACGACGCTCTTATGACACGAGAAAGGATTGAAAATTGTGCTGTGTGTTCGGTGCAGTCGAGAGTCGGAAATTAAGGGAAATATACCACTTTTCTCAAATTAGTTGTTACTACAGTTTCGCGATTTTTTAGGCTTATAATGATCAAAAAAGAAAATATTTCATATGTACAAAGTTTTTTTTTAATATTTTCATATAGGATGAACTATATTCCATCTTTGGTAGAGGCTATAAAATAGTGTTCCACGCGGAAGCTTATTACGCGTTGACCAATCATATTGCGTAGTTTAAAACCAACTGTACGCTGATTGGCTGAGCTTGGCCTCTGCGACAAGTGGCTACAATTTCCGCATTCTTACGTAAGACACCACATTCCTGCGTAAGACACTATTTTCGGAAAGATAAATGGAATATCTTTGTCTGGGGTGATCGCTCGGCTGTAAAAGCTCCTGATTTGTGCTAGTCTCAACTCAAGCTGCAAAACTGCTATTCCAGTTCAAAACCCCAAGTTAAAAGTGGTACATTTCCTCCGGCGTTTCGTTGTGTCGATGGCTGATCCCAGTCAGCATTATTACCAAGGCCCCACATGGAGCCAAGGTGGGCCACTTGGTGGGGCCGACATTAATTTGTCCCTGGGCAAATGGTGGGGCCCACCAGGGCTGGCCCACATGGACTCAAGGTGGGTACTGGGTACCATGTGGGGCACACGTGGGCCCCATATGGCTGCCCACATCCAGCCCACCTACACCCCATTACATGGGCTGCCCAACCAGTGCCCATGTTTAGTCCACCATACAGGAACACCGCGTTTATGGCTGCAAAAAATATATGTTCACCAAAATTCCTGGATACGCCCTCCTAGGTACATGGTGCAGACAATCTTATTTCCAAGCACCATGCATATCAAAAAATAGGTCAGGATCGTGCAATTTTCAGAGTAGGTGTAAAATTGATCAAATGGAGTGTACAGAAAGTTTCGTCGCGATCGAACAAGTTTTGCGCGAGTTATTCGCGAAAAAAAAAACGAAAGGGGGTCCATCCGACCACTCCACCCTCTACAAGTGCGAGGGTTAAGGGCGTTCAAAAATGAAAGATGATGCTCATAGGCAGGGCTGCGGAGTCGGAGTCGGAGTCGGTCGGAGTCGACAGTTGTGACCGGAGTCGGAGTCGGAGTCGGAGTCGATTTTAGAAACCCGAGCCGGAGTCGGAGTCGGAGTCACCGAAAATCTGTCGACTCCGCAGCCCTGCTAGGTCTGCGGGGTCGGAGTCGGGAATTGGAGTCGGTCGGAGTCGACAATTCTGCCCGGAGTCGGAGTCGGAGCTGGTTTTTGAAAGCCGGAGTCGGAGTCGCCGAAAATCCATCGACTCCACAGCCCTGCTCATAGGTACTCAAATGGTGATATCTCCATTCACAAATAATAAGACTATTGATGCATCAATTTGTAAATCCAGAGGCCCAGTTTCCCACTGTCATCTAATCCCACAGATAGTAAACGGAACATTTGGTCCATTTTCACATTTTCAACCCGCGCCCGGCTGGGGGTCCTGGATTTCCACGCCCTGCTGGGGGGGGGGGGTGTTTGAACACCCCCCCCCCTTGTAAATCGGCTCCTGGGCCACGTAGCGATACGCGGAAGGCGGCGTTCGAAAGAGCGTCAAAAATAATGACGAAATCACTTCGGTCAATTTTTTGGTCAGGTCAGAGGTCAGGTCACCAGAGGTCATTGAAGGCAAAATTTCGCCGATTTCCAGGTCAAATGTCGAAAAGTTCCAAGAAGCCAACGCATAACTCGGGAACCAATAGAGCTACAGCGCCGCGGAAAAGCGCATTCGATAGCCCTATTAACGCCCTTTCTGAGTAATTCTCTCAGATTTGACCTAACGTCAACAGTTTTGCCTGCAGGGGGCAAAAACTGCAAAAATAGCCGATTTTTTCGGAAACAGTTTTTCTGCAATAACTTTTGACCCAAGCCTTGTACGAGCTTACTTTTACCGGCATCGTGTTCCTCTCGTCAAGACGCATCGAATGAACTATAACTTGACCTTGAAAGGTCAACTTGAAAATTTGACCTCAGGTCAAGGTCATGACCTGACCGGAAAGGGTCATGTTGCATATCAGTCGATCCGTATCGTCGAGCTGAACACATATAAGGCGTTTTCATCGCTCTAGCATGCCTCTATCAAAAGTTATTTGCGAAAAACTGTAAGATACCATTCGTGACCTAAGATGACCTCAGGGCATAAACAAGGGTCACGGACACTATTTTCATGTTCAGTGTGTCTAAACCACTTGTAATTCGGTGTTTAGGAGTGTTTATAATGCCTTTCGTCCAAAAGAGACGCATTTCAATTTTCTCCCATTGACTTATAATGGGGAGGTCGCAAAATTGACCTGACCTTAGGTCATCGATATCAAAATACTGAGATATACATTTTGTACATGTTATTGCTCTTAGCAATCGCTGAAAGTTTCAAAGCGATCGGTCACTCGGTGTAGCTATGACAGACATTGAAACTTTTTATGAGGTGAGGTCACTTCAAGTGACCTGGTGACCTGACCTTGAATGACCTTGGTCTGAAATTTTCACAACATGTGTCGAATTGATGATAAAGTGTACCAAAAACGCGCGGGTTAACATATTTGGGCTAAAGATGTACCTACCTAGATTTTTTTTTTTTTTTTTGTTGAGAATTCCAGTGAGATCATCCAATAATTGAGATTGTGACATGGGATTCCTTGCAATCACTAATCAGAGAACCTGTGGTTTTCCCAATGACCCAAATTCAACGTTTAGATGCGCGTGCACATCTGACATTGAGTATCAATTAACCCGCGCCCCGTAGGG